TAGAGCTGAGGTCCCACTCTGCTGCCCAGGCTGGAGTGCGGTGGCACAATCACGGTTTCCTGCAGCCTCAGCCACCTGGGCCAGGTCATCTGCCCATTTTAGCCTCCCGTATGGCTGGAACCACAGGTGTGCACCATCACGCCTGGCTAACTTTCTTATTTTTGTAGAGACGAGGTCTCCCTATGTTCCTCAAGCTGGTCTTGAACTCCTGGGCTCAAGTGATCCTCCTTCCTCGTTCTCCCAAAGTGCTCGGATTACAGGTGTGAGTCCCCATGCCCCCTGAAGGCCTCATTTCTTATCCACGGTCTGACCTCTGTAAGTGGCTCAGCTGAGATTCAAGCCTGGAGCCAGCACGCTGACCCAGTTCACCCATGCCTGGCATCGCCCACCACAGCCCCACGTATCGAGCAGGTACTATGCATCCGGCACCCTGCAGGTGCTTGGTGAGTTAATCACATAATCCTCACGTCAGCTGCTGGGGATGTGATTCTAAGCATCCCCAGTGTGTGGCTGAGGAAGGGGGGCTCACAGAGGCTAAGGGGCACCAGCCAAGGCCAGGCTGGTCCAACCACAGTCAGTGCTGGTAACGCCCAGCCCGGCTCCCAAGCCCCCGGCCCTCAGCCACAGGGAGGTCTGCCAGGCCCAGACACACCCTGTGCCCTCCTCCCCAGAATGCTGGTTTGTACAGAGGCTCAAGGGAGGCGGGCTTTGTCACCAGGAAAAAAACAAGACAAGCTTCACACTTGTCCTTTAACTCCCCATCAAAGAGACTTTGACAGTCCTCGAGGGTGGAGGGCAGGGGGAGAAAGGGACAGGTCGGTGGTCACCAGGGCTGGGGCTGTGGGACAGCAGAAGGACGGTCACGTGCCCCCCACGAGGCAAGTGGAAGAAACAGGCCTCACCGCCCCTGGCGACCACAGCCTCCCCTCCAAGGCCACCGCTTGCCTGAGTGGCTCTCATCGCTGAGGCCGGCCTCCTGTGTCCCTGGTCCCAGACACTGCACCCCAGCCCCTCCCTCCCCTCAACTCCAGCTCCCGCCCCTGCCCAGGCCCCAGAGGACTACTCACCCCGAGCACGCGGGCCATCTCCCGGCTGTCATTCTCCAGAAGGCGGAGCTGGCTCCGCAGAGCCTGCTGCAGGCGGGGGTCCTGCAGCCCACTCTTCCTCTGCACAGCCAGCAGCTGCAGGGTCAGGTCTGGAGGGGCAGATGGAGGTTGGGCAGTTGGCCTGGCCTGGGCTGGGAGGTCTGTCGGGCACTGTCCTCCCCCGCCAGCCTCCAACCCACATACCTGACCCCGAAGGCCTGGGGAGCCCAAGCCCCGGGTTGCCAACCTTGTCCCACCCCTGCAAAGGCCTTGGACCGTCGCTTAGGTCCCAGCCTGTTTCCTTCGGTGTGAGTGCCTGTCCTACAGAGTGATGGGGACAAGCGGACTCATGTCCCCTGCAGGCCAGCACAGCAACCACTGCACACAAATGATCTCTCCTCCCTGTCACCACGACCTCCGATCCTGCCCCCCAGCACCTGCCCCAGATGGCTGCAGCTTCAGAACCTGCAGGCGCAGGACCTGGGCATCTGCATTTAGCAAGCCCCTCCTCCACCCCCATGGCGACTGTAGAGGGGGAACTCTGGGACCATGCGGGCACCCACCTCCAGCAGACACCCTACAAGCACCTTGGAAATCTCAGTTCCGCCTTTCTAAGCCAGCTCCTCTCCACTTCTTCCCCTTCTCTCAAGGGCAGAGGCCCCCCGTACTGTCCCGAGCTCAGATCAATGATACCTCCCCACTCACCACATCAGCTACCAGCAAGCCCCATGAGCTCCACCCTCCACCCTACCCCTGTCCCTGTCATGGTTCTGGGCCCTGGCGGGTCTGCCCTGGGCAGCTGTCCACACCTGGCCCTCCCTCCTGTCTGTCCCCTGGTCCGAGCAGAGCTTTGACATGACATGCATGCGTGGACCCATCGGCCCTGCTCCCGGCCGTCCCTGTGGCTCCATCCAGTGGAAACTTCTGCAGCAGTTGGCATGTGCTCTGTCTGCCGTGTCCCATTCGGGGCCACCTGAGGCAGGGGCTGTGGAACTCCTGAGATCCATGCCCCTCCTCACTCTGCGAGGCTGGAGATTTCCCACCAGAATCCAGGCTCCCACGCTGTGACCCCGTCTGCCCTGTGCACGATCCCTTCCCAGTGCCTGGAACCGCGGAGAAAAAAGCCTTCCCGTTCCTCCAGGTCAGCACTCAGCCCCAGAGCTATAGGCAGCGGCGTTCTAGGGGCTTTGGCCCTCTATGGAGGGGGCTGCCCCAAGGGAGACGCAGGGAGAGGGGGAAGAGAATGAGGAGTAGAAGGGGAGAAGGAGAGCAGGGAGAGGGGAGAAAACAGGAGGGGGAGAGGGAGGAAGACGGGAGACACCAGGAGGAGAAGAGAGAGGCAGGGGGCGGAAACCGGAGGGGGAGAGGAAGGGAGGGGGAGAAAATGGGAGGGGGAGAGGGAAGGAGTGGGAAAAAAGTGAGAAGGAGGGAGAGGGAGGGAGTGGGGAGAAACCAGGAGGGGGAGAGGGAGGGAGGGCGAGAGAGAGA